TGGAGACCAAAGTTTAATCATGCAGGCAAAGTTTTTAGCTAGCAGGCTTCAGGGAGAATAGGTTGCAAAATGTTTCTTATCAGACTTAAAGTCTATGTTGATGTTAATGCTGAAGAGGTATAACGAGGCACATTCAACCCCCACTTTCCATCATGGCCTGAAACAGACTCTCAGGTTAAGTTTTAAGAGGCCTGGCTGAGGAAGAAGTCCATTCAGATGGCTGGGGGGGCTTAGAATTTTATTTTTGGTTTACCCATGTGCTTAGTGGCTTAAAATAACACAGATTTATTTTTTCAGTCTCTGGACCTGGATTAACTGAGTCCTCTACTTTAGGGTCTCAGACTGCAAGCCAGGTATTAGCCAGGGCTGTAGCCTTATCTCAAGACTCAACCGGGAAAGGATCCACTTCCAGCCTCATGTGGAGGTTTGCTGAATTCAGTTCCTTGTGGTTATAGTGAAACCACCTTTGCAAACACGATAACTAAGAAATTATGACAGTAAAAGATACCAGACCTAACCAACTTCATCATGCTTCTAACCTCTAAACTGTCCTTGTCCATTCCTCGATGTAAGCCAAACTAGGCTTGGGAAGGAATTTAGTTTATAGTTTAAACAATAGCCCTTCCCAAAAGCTAAACTGTTAATTGTAAAATTAATGAAAGGCCACCAGCCACCAAGTTAGAATGAGAGGAACTGGAATTCTAAATATTACCAGCCATTATTCCGGAGGTCATAAAATACGAAACTTTGCCAATTATTCTTAAAGGTAACATCACTGTTGTAAACCTAAAGTGGGCCTTTTGAGATGCCTTTTCAAATTTTTGCACTTCTTTTTTTTTTTTTTTTTTTTTTTTTTTTGAGACGGAGTCTCGCTCTGTCGCCCAGGCTGGAGTGCAGTGGCCGGATCTCAGCTCACTGCAAGCTCCGCCTCCCGGGTTTACGCCATTCTCCTGCCTCAGCCTCCCGAGTAGCAGGGACTACAGGCGCCCGCCACCTCGCCCGGCTAGTTTTTTGTATTTTTAGTAGAGACGGGGTTTCACCGTGTTAGCCAGGATGGTCTCGATCTCCTGACCTCGTGATCCGCCCATCTCGGCCTCCCAAAGTGCTGGGATTACAGGCTTGAGCCACCGGGCCTGGCCAAATTTTTGCACTTCTAACAACTGGATGGCCTCACCTGGACCTGCCAACCAGTTCTGTGGCCCCCACTCAGGAAATGACTCAGCATAAAAGAACAGCTTCAATTCCCTATGATTTCATCCCAGAGCCAACCAATCAGCAATCCCAATTCACTGGCCGCCTACCCACCAGATTATCCTTGAAAACTCTGATCCCTGAATTTTCTGACTTGAGTAATAACAAAACTCCTGTCTCCTGCACAGCCAGCTCTGCATAAATTATTCTTTCTCTATTGCAATTTCCCTATCTTGATAAATCAGCTCTGTCTAGGCAGTGGGCAAGGTGAACCTATTGGGCATTTACAGTAGGACTGAGGGGCCTTTATTTTATTTTATTTTTATTTTTTGGCTGTTGGTTGGAGACTGCCTTCCTAAGTTCCTTTCCTAAGTTTTTTGCCATGTGAACCTACCCAACATTGCCACTTGCTACATCATAGCCATCAAGGAAAAAAATCAGCTCCCCTGGGCGACAAAGCGAGACTCCATCTCAAAAAAAAAAAAAATCAGCTCCCAAGAAGGGTATGTTATCCAAAAGATCACCAGGATGGCTGAAGAGTAGAAGTGTTACTGGGGGCGGGGGGAGGTCCTTGCTCCCAGAGCTCCCAAGATGGTGGTGGGCCACTTCCAAGATGGCCGTGGGCTGCTTCCAAGATGGTGGCAAGCGTCGTGTTCTCTGACCTGGGGTTCTTGGCCTCACGGATTCCAAGGAATGGAATCTTGGGCCATGTGGTGAGTATTATAGCTCTATTAGAAGCCAGTGGGTCATGGAAGAGAATGGTGGAACCCAGTGACTAGTGTTCAGCTCGATTAGGATGAACCTGGGCACTTAGCTGTTCAGGAACAATGGCAAGCTTTTAGCCCGATCAGGAATGGCAACAGGTGCCTCGCTGGATCAGGAGCACAGCAGACACCCTGTGGCATCCAGAGGGATGGAAGTCAGTGGCGGGTCTGCGATGGCGGCAGACAGCAGTGGTGGAAGGCAAGCAAAAGCTCAGCTCTAGTTGTAACAAACACGGACCAGAATAGAGTGCAGTTGCAAGATTTAATAGAGTGAAACAGAGCTCCGATACAAAGGGAGGGAACCCAAAGAGGGTAGCCATTGCTGGCTCGAATATCTGGGTTTATATCCTGATCAATGTCCCTCCCACTGTGCTCTCAGGTGATAGATGATTGGCTATTTTTTTACCTCCTGTTTTTGCCTAATTAGCTTTTTAGTGAGCTCTCTTTACTACCTGACTCGTTGGGTGTGAGCTAAGTTGCAAGCCCTGTGTTTAAAGGTGGATGTGGTCACGTTCTCAGCTAGGCTTAGGGATTCTTAGTCGGCCTAGGAAATCCAGTTAATCCTGTCTCTCAGAAGGGAGAGCTTCATCTGTGATACCAGTTTACAAACCTGGAAGAGACAGACTCTAGAGTTTACCAGAGATTGACGTTACTATGCCTTACAGGGTCTGTATTACATAATAGAGTCATACGTATTTAGCAGGTTTGAGGAAAAGTTATATGTATCTATGAGGGGGATTGAACACGTGCACAATGGTAAACATAAATGTAATGTACATCCCATGTTCACATTGGACAGGGTTTTAGCATTATGATGAGACAGAATTTGGTTCTTTACATCAAAAGGTAAACTCTAGGATACACAGACAGTTTGTGTAGTCTCTGCTGCAACTGACTTGAGGTCTACAGTTGCTGATCAGGAAATAGTGTTTGTAAGGCCAGTCCTCCTTCTAATCAGAGTTTTAGTGACCTGGGTTGTAAACCAGAGTTAGAAGGGTCTGATAGCTCCATTGTTAGGGAGTTTGGCAACAGTGTGATTCTCTTGTAGCTCTAGGAATTTAGGAAGTTGCTATTCATGCCAATGAAGCCCTAAACCCTCTATCTGTAGGTAACTGTTGATTCTGTAACCTTAGGGTCTATCCTAGTTGATAAAGAGGTGTGTATTTTGGTCTCTCAGATCACAAGCATTATAATCTTACATAAAATCATCATGGAATTTACATTTCATCACCTTCTCAGCATTTTGTTGCTTAGAAGCAAGTCACAGGCCTGTACACACTTCTGGAGAGGAGATTACATGGGGTGTGATTACCAGGAGGTAGGTATCATGGGGCTTTCTGAGAGACTGTCCTCCCCAGACATCCCCATGATCTTCTCTTGGGCAAGTCTTTCTACCTCATTGTGCCTGAGTTTCTGAATGTGTAAAACAAGGATAATACATATTTTATAGGATTATCATGAAACCACCTCCAGAGGGTTGACAAGAATTGCATACTGGGTTTTGGACAGAAATATAGTTACAATTAAGCATTAATCAGGGTGCACTTTGGCCTCATCCCTTGTTGCTAAAGGTCACTTAGCACTAGATTCTGAACATTTGCATACCCATCATTCCTATAGATAGGATTTTTGACATTGGGGTCATAAAACTATTTAAGAGTTGATGTGCATCCCCATTGTTTCTATACACAGAATCTCTCACACTAGAAAGGCTTTTGCTTAAGGATCCCTTAAGATGTTTTGCAGATCTCTTATTCCAGCAACCAATTTGAAGACCTTTCACAGAGGAACAGGATAAGCATGAGAATATGGCTTCTTCATCTCCAGGTTCCATTACTTCACCCTGTACTCTTTGACCAATCAATAATCTCCATGTTTTGGCCCATTCTAAACCTTAAAAACCCTAAGTCCAAATTCCTTAGAGAGATAGATTTAAAGTTTTCTCCCATCTCCTTGTTAGGTGACTCTACAATTAAATCTTTCTCTGCTGCAACCTGGTGTCTTGGCATATTGAATTGCTGTGTGCACTGTGCAATTAAACAATTACGGTTACAACCATATGAATTAAATGACCTAAATCAGGGATTAAATGGCATTGCCTGGTCTATGACAGAATATGAATAATTGTTATACTACCAGTACTATTATTTAACATAACAATGATCTTCATTCCAAACTAGTGGTTGCAAATGGAACAATCTTCATTTTACCACAGAGAAACTGAAGCCCCTACTAGTCTTATACTTTTCTGACCCTGTGGTTTCAGGGAACACAAGGCAACTCTCAGTTTTATTGGTTCAGTTGGGCCCACAAAGATTAGGATTTCACAGCAAACAAGGCAGCATAACATAACACATTTATTTTAACACTATAGTCTCCAATGAAACAGGACTTTAAGGTCATCCCAAACTAGTTTTACTTTATTATATATATGTACGTGTGTGTGTGTGTATATATATATGCGTGTGTGTATGTGTGTATATATACACACACATATACATATATATGATTTATCATATATATTATATAGAGAAAACACACACATATATCATCAAATATGTATACATATTTAGTGAGATATAATTTACATACTATAAAATGTATCTAAAGTGTACAATTCAATGACTTTTAGTATATTCATTCAATTGTTGTAGGACTTTCTCCTTAGTTCAGCTAAAAATGGCGTCCTTGTAACACAACCATGAAATATTAGGCTTGCAGATACTTTGAAAGGTGAAAAAAATGGAATTTGTTGGGCAAAAAGGAAAAAAAAAAGGGAAACAGGGACTCTCAGCAGAGCAAGAGTTACTAGTATAGGCTTCCTGCTTCACAGATTGAATCCCAGGTACCAACCAGGAAGAGGAGGAGCTAGACATCCCCCTCCTGCCCGGGTGGACTTCTACGGCACTCCTCCTAGCGTGCATGTAGGTTGAAGTTTCTCTGGGGACCCCTTCCCATCTGGCTGTCTCATTCCCTCCTGTAAAGAAGTGCATCTAACTGCCATTAGAATAAGGATAAGGATAAGGATGAAGACGGATCCTTAACTGTTTCCTGCTGACAGGGGGCGCTGTTTTGGAGAAACGGCAGTCAGAGCTCCCTCAGAGGCCTATCTCAGGGTCCCTGGCAAAAAGAACCATCGCCAGAGGCTCCCGTTGCATGATCGTTTGGAGTTTGATGGCCTGAAGGCAAGAAAAGACACGCTGGATTATTAGAAAACGTTAAAATGAAACAAGGGGAGGGGTGAGGAGAGTTGAAAAATCCTGACACCTTTTACTGGTTTTCACAGAGAGAGGGAGGCCAAAAATCCGACTGGTAAAAAACTTTAACCTTTTGTCAGCGTATTGAGTTTCTGGGTTCCCTTACCCTGAGCCCAATCCTAAAGCCAACCATTTTAAGCTTTGGGAAATTAACTCTTTTCATTTTAGAGGATGCATCTGAGGGAAGTGTCCCATAGTACGAGGACATAATTACCTATTTATGAAGAGAAGACAGAGAAGGAGAGAGGGAAAAAAGAAGGCATTTTTTTTTCAAAGGAGTCCCAGGGCTTCAGGATGCATTTGAATGGGGTACAGACTGAAGATGAATGGCTACCCATCTAGAAAGAGGAGAAGAGGCATCTCTGATTCCCTTCTCCTTCTAGCAGATACCCGGAGTACCTGAGGGAGAGAAGGAAGAGCATCTGTTTCTCTCTTCTGTCCTTGCATCCCCAAGTACTGGTGACCTTGGCAAGTGCCACCATGGGTGTTAAAATGGCTTTCACCCATGTTAACAGGGCAGGTAGGGAGGTGGGAATTATTCACTCTTACCCACGTACACCCTGTCTACTCTGTTGTCAGTAGCCTTGAATTACCTAGACCTCATTTATGCCCATGGATACTAGCATGGCCTTTATCCATGAAATGGGAAGCTTGGCTTAATTGGCAGGAATCAGCCATACTCACCTGTGCTGTGCCTTTTAACGTTCATCATCATCTGCCTCTGGATCCTTCAGATCCAGTTTTCTTTCCTAGAGCTTTGACTGAAAGCTTGGAATTGAGTTTGGTACAAAAATATATCTCAGGGCGTGGGGTTGTATGGACTCTTTATCATAGCCAAATGCTAAGGCAAAACTGTGGAACTGAGTCCTCCTCCAACAAGGGAGAGAAAAGGATGTCTTGTGACACATTAAGATAATGGAAGCTATAGTTATGCTTGCTAGGATTTAGGTGCATGGTGCTTGGCTTTTGTTAGCTCCCTTGGTCTTACTTTTCCAAAAGGAATCCTCCAAGTGATGGACATCCTATGCATTCCTATCACCTGGCAGGATTTGCAGGATAATTACTCAGAACTAGAATATTGGTCCAGATTTTCACATTACCCATCCCTCCTTTTCTTTCTGAGCTGTAGCGAGAGATTGCTCGTTGATTCACAGGAACAAGCAGGGTTAGTATAAAAATGTAGACAAAAACTTAAAAACAACTATTGAGTTTAGAAGTTAATGAAAAAGTTATGGTAAGTTTTGAAACATAATTTCAATCTCTCCAGTCCTCATTTTTATTAAAAAAATCATGATAAGCCTGAATTGTTTGCAAAATAGACTTTATTCTTTTTTTTTTTTTTTTTGAGACGGAGTCTAGCTCTGTCGCCCAGGCTGGAATGCAGTGGCCGGATCTCAGCTCACTGCAAGCTCCGCCTCCCGGGTTTACGCCATTCTCCTGCCTCAGCCTCCCGAGTAGCTGGGACTACAGGTGCCCGCCACCTCGCCCGGCTAGTTTTTTGTATTTTTTTAGTAGAGACGGGGTTTCACCGTGTTAACCAGGATGGTCTCGATCTGCTGACCTTGTGATCTGCCCGTCTCGGCCTCCCAAAGTGCTGGGATTACAGGCTTGAGCCACCGCGCCCGGCCCAGACTTTATTCTTATACTTGGCCTGATTATTTGCAGAAAATGCAGCCGGAATAACTATTTCTACATAGGCCTTTTGGATTGCCTTTGATGGAACTTTGTTCCATAAGGAATCACAGATAAAATCTTTTAAAGCTGAGCCCAGCCATGGGTTTTTATCCTCAAATACCTGTGAGTTGGGTGATCCTCTCCTCTTAACATCCCAAGATGAACTTGGAGCTCCTAGGTCTTTAGAAAGTGCCATTCTGTACTTACCACAGGTCAGGAACCCTATACAAGGACTGCATAGGCAAGGGTATGAGGCCAATCTGTTTTTCCCCAAGGGCCTTTTATTGGCTCTGCAATTTGAGCTTGACTCCTTAAAGGTAAGCATATCTTTCCAGTCAAGGCCTTGGTGAAATAACCAGTTTCTCCAATTGTGTCCTGTTGCAAAAGAAAAATGGATTCTTACTGTGCTGATGCAAAGAACTATATTGTCATAAGTTAAGAATACTCACAGATAGTTTCCAAATTCCAGAGGAAACAGGCAGAGAGAAATAAACATGCTCCAAATTTGGTTCATAGGAGTATACCTTACTCAGTTATTAAAGGCTGTAAATAGTTTAAAATATGTTTCCATGACTCTGAAAACAAAAGAAGGACCAGCAATATTCCAAGCAAAAGTTAAAAAGATTATTTCGATTTTCTGAGTTCAATACATTGAGTTCTTGTTTTGCTCAATATTCATGAACATATCAGCTCTTCTTGAGTCCTGTACATTTTTCCTTTATTTTAATGTTACAATCTCCAAAGTTATCAGAAACCTGTATTTGAGAACACCTGTCAATATTCTGTGGCTTATTATAAACTGTCCTTTAAAAAGGACTAAAACAAGGAAAAAAATGTCTGTGAATAGCAAAATGTCCAGGGTAGCTACAGTTAGAAAGTGTTTGGTTTGGTTATCTCTGTGGTTTTCAATAACTTAACATAACAACCTAAACTATGATTGATAGCATATTCTTAGACATTAGAATTTTTTAAATGCTATACAATTTGGGAACACATATTTGTATTATTCACCAAAATATAACCTAAAGAGGATGGAACACCATTTTGGCAATCCCATGTACCTAAACATGTCAACTAATCCTGTTTACCTCTCTTTAAGACACTCTAGGGGCTCTTCTGGAGCCTCTGAAAATCCAGGTGTCAAGAAAGACAATTTTGAAACTGAAGTTTGATTTGGGGAAGCCTGTTACATATGTTAGAGGATTAAAACACTTGATGTTATGAAATAGAATTCCACAGTGCCATAAATTATTTATTTTGCCAAATGATGACTCAGAATTTTAAAGAAGTAAGAAGCAAAAATATTTACTCATTAGGAGAGAAGACAGCTTTTCAAACAATTTGTCTCCTGTCTTCTCTTCCTTTGACTTGGCAGTCTATTCTTAAGGCAAATGAAAATCTTTCACTATCCTTTACTATTACATAAAAATCTTGTATAAAGGAGAGAAATCCAAAATTTCACCCTTAACATTAGTCTACTATTGTCAAACCCAGTTGTTAAATGAAACCTTATAGACAATTCTACCTAATCTCAACCAATTTGACCATGAGGTAAGATTCTTATAAACCTTTTATAACCCCTTACAAATTTTGCTACAGAGCAGATTAGTGCCTTAAGAAAACCTTGTTGTGCTTTTATTTCAATGCTCAATTTACAAAAAACTATGTAATAACCTTTTGAATTCCACTCAGTGTTCACACACAGAATTTCTTTTTTGAAGATTAATTTTTAGAAACCTTTCACCACTTGTTTGAACCTTCAGCTTTATCTTATCTAATTTAAAACAATCATTTAACCTTAGGCAAATATTTACATTTCCATGCCTTCTTATAACCTTTTACTAAAAAACACATTTTACTGTTCTCACAGACCTCGCATGTAAATCTATTTCCAGTAGTTTCAATTACGTGTTATTATAGTAACTTTTAGCAATTTTTAATTTTAATGTAAAACCTGGTAAGTTGTTTTCATTGAGTGCTAAATGCAGCCAAGGTTTGACTCCTTCCAGCATAATTAAGAGCATAATTAGTTCCATATGGTCCCTAGGCCTTATCGACTGTGGAACAGGCAAGTTAAATAGTTCTCAAAAATTAAAAGGCAGAATACAACCTTAAAACACTTGCCAAACGTTGCATCTGACCTGCATAATTTAGTCCACCTATTTACATTTTGATAGTATCTGCATTTCACCAATAATTTTTAAGGCTGTTTTTGTATCTCAAAGATTAAAGTCATGTGAACTGAAGGGTACCACAACTTTTATCTTCCTTTTAAAATATATTTGATCCAAGTGCTTGTCGTCCTTTAGGCCAAATTAATTAGAGTTCTTTTTACAAACATCATACACACAACACATATATAACTACACAAACAGACGGGTAAACCCAGTCCCTAGGTGGAGGCCTTTAAGAGACAGGGCTAGGAAAACATGCAGATATTAAATGAGAAAGGACTCATTCCCTAAGGCAAAATTGCTAAACGAAGCCTTCCCACAGGGTCACAGGCCACATCACCAGGAGGTAAAACAAGACAGAGGCCTTCAGTGAAGTCTGCTACAAACCATACACATATGCAAAGCACATAAGATTGGCTACAGCTTAAGACCAGTCTCATAAATCCTTTTTCACAATTAAAATTAAAGCCATTCCCTAATCCAGCTTTATACAGATTCACATCTAGGTTTTCTTATAGAAGATAATTTTAGCTTTTGCATTTAGTTCTTTATTTTCAGTTAATACATGTGAATGGTATGAGGCAGAGCATCCAACTTCATTATTTTTCATGTGGATATTCAGTTGTTTTAGCACTATTTTTCAAAAGACTATTCTTTCCTCTATTGAATTATCTTTCTACTCTTGTAAAAAAAGTAATTGAACAAAAAATTATGAATTGATTTCTGGACTCTCAATTTTATCCCATTGATATCTCAATTTTATCATAAGGATATGTCTATCCTTATGTCAATGTCTCACAGTCTTGGTTATTTACTTTTATACTAAGTTTTAAAATTGCAAGGTGTGAGCCATCCAACTTGGTTTGTCTTTTTAAAGATTATGCTGGCTATTCTGGATCCCTTGCATTTCCATGCGAATTTTAGAACAGTTTGTTCATATTAGCAAAAAAACAAATGTGATTTTCATAGGAATATTTATTTTTATAAGGGATTTTAATTATATATTTCTTCTTTTATTCCTGGTTTTTGTGACTTCACTCTCCTCCCTCTTTTACTTGTTCAGTCTCAGTGGGTCCAATCTTTTGGTTTCCCTGGACCACATTGGAAGAAGAATTGTCTTGGGCCACACATAAAATACATTAACACTAACAAGAGCTGATGAGCTTCAAAAAAAATGACACACACAAAAAAATCTCATAGTGTTTTAAGAAAGTTTACCAATTTGTGTTGGGTCACATCAAAGCCATCCTAGGCCACATGTGACCTGCGGGCCATGGGTTGGACAAGCTTGGTCTAAATAAATGTTTATCAAATCTGTTGATTTACAAAAAAATTTGGTTTTATTAATTTACTATTTCTCTATTCTCTCTTTTTAAAAACTTTCTACTTGTTTTTGGTATAGTTTGTTCTTTTCTAATCTTTTAATGTGGAAGATCAGGTTACTGATTTGAGATCTCATTTTCATGAGATAGGCTCATACGCCTATAAATTTCTTTCTAAGCATTTCTTTTGGCACATTCCATATGCTTGATATGTTTCATTTTCATTTTTACTCAGTCCAAAGTACTTTCTAATTTATCTTATGATTTCACCCATTGGCTACATTGGAAAGTGTTTAATGTACACACATTTATGAGTTATCAAAATTTTTTCCTGTTAGTGATTTCAGATTTTATTTCATTGTCATCAGCAAACATACTTTGTATGATTACAAAGTATGTTTCATTGTATTAAGATTTGTATTATGGCCTAATATATACTTTATTCTGAAAATGATTTCATGTGCACTTGAGAAAAATGTGTATTACTCGTTTGTCAGAATGTTTTATATGTATTTGTTAAGTTTCATTGGTCTATAGTGCTGTCCAAGTATTCTATTTCCTTGATAATTTTCCTTCTTATTTGTTTTGCCATTATCTAAAGTAAGGTGTTGTGTCTTCAACTGTTAATGTTCACTGTCTCTTTTTTCCTTTAATTCTGTCAGCTTTGCTTCCTTTATTTGGGGACTCTAATTTTAAGTGCACACATGTTTATAGTTGTGATGTCTTCATAATGGATTATCCTGTTTATTATTATAAAAAGTCCTTCTTTGTCGCTAAGTTACTTTCAACTTAGATCTATTTGGTTTGATGCTAGTATAGGTGCTCCATTTCTCTTTTAGTTATGATTTATATGGCACATCTCTTTTCACTCTTGAACTTTTAACTTATATGTGTCTTTGAACCTAAAGTGTGTCTCTTGCAGATAAAATATAGTTGTATTATGTTACTAAAAAATTCATTCTATCAATCTCTGCTTTTTTATTGAAATGCTTAATCCATTCATAGATAATGCAATTACTGATAAGGTCAGATTTACATCTCACAT